TTCTCCGCTTCAAAGAGCTGCGGGTAGGAGCGTTTGTACAGATCGGGTACGCGAATCACCCGCCCACTGCCGCCGCCAACTCTGACGGGATACTCGCGCATCTTCACCGTGGCCGTCCCGTAGACGTCCTTCTCAAAGCGAATCAGCTGACTAAAGAAGGCCATATTCGGCCGAGCGCAGGGCCGGCCTCTGTGGACATAGTCGAATGCCTCCTCCAGCGTCAGCTTGCCGTACTTGATCAGGTAGGCGAGGACGATGGTGGTGGAGCGAGAGGCGCCCGCCAGACAGTGCACCACTATGCGAAAGCCCTCGTAGGCGGCGCGGAACATAAAATCGGTGATGTCGTGCAGGTACGGGTAGATCTCATCCTCGGGGTCGTCGTCCACCGGCACCCGCACCGAGTAGATGCGTCCTGGCAGCATCAGCAGCGGCACCTCGAAAGTGGCGTTGATGATGACGCTAATGTTGTGGGCCACCAGGTTGTCCCTGGTGACGCCGGCCAGCCCCGTCAGGAAGAGGTGGTCGAGGATGCGGTCAATGTCACGGAAGGGCGTACTGCTGATCAGGCGCATCTGCTGGGTGGCGTTTGGATCGCGCTGCAGCACGCCCACCTCGTAGTCCGTCCAGACGATGGTGGTAGTGCAGCGCTGTATTCGCTGGCCCCTCTTCGTCGTCGTCATCAGCTGGCCCCGTTTCAGGGTGGGCAGATTGCTGAGCCACCGATCGCCGTACGATTTTAGGGCTCGAGTGTCTCGCGTCTCCAGCGTCATTGGGTAGTCAAAGCAGTCGCAGATGTTGCCCATTTCCTGGCAGACAGGGAATGGTAAGAAAGTGTAAGAAAGAGTAAGCCCGGCGCTGGCAAAAAGTGGAGCAAAACAATTAAGTTGTAAGGGTAAAGGTAGCAGGGAGAAAAAAAGCCGAGTTGAGTTGCTGGAAATGAATTGAATTTTAATTTAGTAACAATGTAGATGACGTTGCTTCGAACAATCATCCTGCAGAGCCTATTGTTGGTTGCCTAGGCACACGCACTACAGTGCACTTCCTCAGTTTTGCCCCACTAGAGGTTGCCCTTTTCATTTCATTTTACCTCATTTGCTCACCAGTGTCGACCTCACCTGCCTGGCACAGGCAGCAGCAGCAGTGGTTCAGCAAAAAGTAGTAATGTCCCT